CCACGGGGTGAGATCTTGCGTGGAGCACCAGATCAAGGGAGATTATCAGTGGTCTTGTATGTCTTCCATTTTCTAATTATTGCTCCCACAGTTGATTTGTTCACACCAAGCTGCTTGCCTATTGCAGATTCAGTCTTCCCAGCCTGGTGCAGGTCTACAATTTTGTTTCTGGTGTCCTTCGACAGCTTTTTGGTCTTCACCATAGTGGAGTTTGGAGTGTGACTGTTTGAGGTTGTGGACAGGTGTATTTTATACTGATAACAAGTTCAAACAGGTGCCATTGATACAGGTAATGAGTGCAGGACAGAGGAGCCTCTTAAAGAAGAAGGTACAGGTCTGTGAGAGCCAGAAATCTTGCTTGTTTGTAGGTGACCAAATACTTATTTTCCACCATAATTTGCAACTAAATTCTTTCCAAATCAGCCAATGTGATTGTCTGGATTTTGTTTCTCATTTTGTCTCTCATAGTTGAGGTCTACCTATGATGCCAATTACAGGCCTCTCTCATCTTTTTAAGTGGGAGAACTTGCACAATTGGTGGCTGACTAAATACTTTTTTGCCCCACTGTATATATCCAAATATATATGGACCTAACTGTAACTCCCAAGGAACCAAGCAGCACTTGGTTCTGTTCTGATCAATGGACCCATTGTTCTTAAAACACACCTATATATGTTGGCTGTAGCTCCACCCTTTTTGAAGCCCAAATTATGGAGCGCCTGTAAGAGGAGGTACAGCCAGCGCAAAGCCCCACTGAGTCATCTGTCCCTATTATGAATCAACAATCAACACAGCCTGTTCATTTATAATTACTGCTTGCTGAACATGAGCCATTCTAGTGAATGGTTGCATACCGTAACCTTGTGCAAATGGTGTGTCACATGCCATGTACAGGGTTAAAATAGCCGGTCACCACTTGTCAAATGCATCCAAAAAGTGAATCATTTTTCAGAGGTGGCAGCAAGGTCTACTGCTAAAGTAAACTGGTCATTCATTGTTTCTTTATTTTCGGTCAGCCAGCACAAACGAGGTGGATGGAGGAATCCTCCCCTACTGGGACACTGTATTCTGACAGTTCTGCATGCAGCTGTCAGAATACACTGGAAATTTCAAAAATATCCCTTTCACAGAAGCCAATCAAATGGTCGAATTCTGTTGAGCAGGGGATGGCCACACACTGATTTAGCAGGTTCCTACTGAACTGGTCAAATTTCACAAATTTTAGTCAGCTTTAAGCCTTAAACAGTGACAAACCATGTGTCTGTCGCAAGACTTAATTAGCAGGTTTCTTTGCCCTCAGATTAATACTATAACAAATTGTGTACACCAAATATTTTAACATATCAAACTGTGAACTCATAAACCATTAATTTGCCTGCAAGTAACATTGCTCCAACCCAATTATATCAGCACTTTATATAGCTGTATTAATATGAAAACACAATTTGGTGTCCATGAGTGAAATGCCTGCAGTTTACATGTGCCCACAATCTATTCATAATGTCCACATACTGTATTTCCTTCCATGGATGCTTTAGAGAGATATTTTGTATAGAAGTTGACTCCTGAGGGGCTGGCATAGAGGCCACTGTTAGTCCTACTAGTTCGGTTGGTGTTTTCACTGGAGGCAAAAAATTCTCATCTCCTTAAAAAAACAAAAAACAGTTACTGCTATTAATGAAAAAACATACAAAGAATAGAGTAAAGCCATAAATGTGTGATATATTATCGGAGAGGTCTTTTTAAATTGTTAGGGCTTGTTTACACCATATGTGTATGGGGCAGCACAGTGGCTAAATGTTTAGCACTTCCGCCTGGCAGTACTAGGGTCATTAGTTCAAATCCCAACCACGGCACCACCTGCCTGGAGTTTGCATGTTCTCCCTGTGCCTGCGTGGGTTTCCTCCGGGTACTCCAGTTTCCTCCACTGGGGGGCAAAGCACATTAGTGGAAGGAGTAGGTTGGATTGTCAATTCTCTTGGTGGAACTTGAACAATAAAGCTGTCCTTGCACACAGAAAGGTATTCTTCTTGATCACTACTTGGGAGAGAAAACTGTTGTAATGTCTTGCTTATTGCTGACCCAGATTGCCTTATTCTGCTCATATCTCCTGCCCCTACTGCCAACTCTGCTCTTTACTGTCTTTCTCTTGCCTGCCACCTTCCTCAAACTCTGTCTGGACACCAATAACTTTCTTGCCTGCATTTGCTTCTACCTTTGCCTGGGTAATGATTCCTCTCTAGCCTGCTGCCTGTCTCAACCTCTGCTTTTATTCCAACTACTCTCATGCTTGTTGAAGGCCTTCATCTCTGCTCAGACGTTGACCTTCCGTTATGTCATAACCTTTCATCACAATGTAACCACCCTATTCCAGAAGGGCCATGACCTGATGTCAGCTTGCAGCAAAGCAGCATGGGGGACACTAGGGTCACTCCTTGAGTGGTACTCTGATAAAAATTCAAACATTTTCTTTTCGGCTCTGTGCTTTGGGTGAGCCCATGTCACTTTCTAGTGGTACGAATACTGACAGTTACAATGCACCAGCCTGTTCACTGGGGTTTAACCTCTTCACGCCAAGCGCACGCAAATGTGTGGCCTCTCAGTGTCTGGGCCTTGACGCCGAGCGGTCGCACATTTGCGTGCAATTAAAAAAAAACGTGCTGAGAGCGTGCGCCCTGTGCGCTCCCAGCACACATGTCCGGTACTCACGGAAAGGTCCCAATCTCCTCTTGTGATCAGGACCTTTCCCGATCATGTGACCGCCGTGACAGCGAATCATGGTGGTCACATGACCCTAAAACCCCGCCCGTCTCCCGGCTTCTGAAACCCTTAAAGGGCCGGGAGGCGCCGGCGCCAAGTGGTTAAGAGACTGAGAAAATCCTACTGCCTGCATCACACTGATGGTACCATCTCAGCTCACTTGTTTGGAGCTTAAGCACTGCTTTGTAAACAATAAAAAGTAAAGATTTTCTGAAACATGATGCTGGCAATGTATATTGTGACACATCGGGAATTTATTCATGCAAACGTGTAAAGTTACAAAGTCCACTTTACGACAGAGCAAACTGAAAGATAAATACTTAAATTGGTCTATCAGAAATCAAAGGGGACTTATATTGTTCATATCCCCTTAGAATACAACAAATGCTATAGAATTTCTTTGTGTGTTCTTTCAAGCAGAAGACACATCAGTAATTTTAGAATGGCAGATAAATTGTGAAAAGAATAAACTATGATCTGGTCATGCTGAAAAGACTACCCAGATTTTATACTTACCCATATCATTAGAGGTAGACTTAACATCAAAGAATTTGGAGGAGAACACATTTTGGAAATTGATTTTTTGTTCATTTTGACTAAATCCTCTTTTCAGTTGTAGTTGCTGCAACCAGTACATCTTTGCATGGTTGTTACTTGCCTAAATAAAGAGGCACAGTTTAATAAAGGAACATTACTGACAAACCAATCAAAAGCAAATGTATAGTTTTGTAAAAAAGAAAATGTACATGTACTTGTATTAATTATTATTATTATTATACTAATCACTACCTCCTGGTGCAGGAGGATGGGCACTACTAGTGCTCTGTTGTTTGCTAAACTGTACCTGAGGAAAGAGTGAAGAATTTTTGGTGACAATAAGCTTTCTGTATACCTATACCACATCTTAAAGTGATTGTAAAGGATCAAAACATTTTTATTAAAATGACAAACATGTTACACTTACCTACTCTGTGCAATGGTTTGCATTAAGGTAAAAAAATAACCTTCTGCATTTAGAACTACTTTATCTTCTCAAAGATATATTGATTATTTTATTGTTCAAGAAGGTTTCATTAATTTAAAAAAATTTTTTGCAATGTTTAACAGGAACCTAAAATTACATTATCATTTGACAATCAAAAACATTTTTTGACTGCCATAACAAAAGTAATATAATAAAATGATGGAAGTCTTACGACATCTTTATTTTTCAAAACTACAGCAGGAAATACAAAACCTTTATGCAACCGGTTCCCTCCCTAAAAGTCTTATAAAGGGAAATCCCAGTGTATTTGAGTTTCTAGAAATTGTATTAGTAATAAGGATTTTGAGAAAGAAGCCAAAAAAAAAAAAAAAAAAACAGATCAAGTTTCTTAGAAAGAGGATATAATAAAAGATTCTTAAGCTGCATTCACACAAGTGTTCTCTAAAGTGCCTGTTCACACCTGATCACACAAACAGGCACCATAGAGAACAATTGATTTTTTAAGTTTGAGCATTTTTGGAGCTTCGCGCTTCAAGCTATAAAACGCTCAAAGTGTGAATGCAGCCTTAACACAGACAAAAAAAGGAAAATGAAGTGCAGTAATATAGATAGAATTATAGATAAGTCTTAAAAATATCAGAGAGTTCCAAATTGTAAGATACATTGCTGTATACAATTGTAATGACAAAATATTTTCCATCAGTATTGGCTTTGGTCGGCAGAAGATCCAGTAGTATGCAAAATGATACCACCCAAAATTGTTTGGGAATTTTGTGGAGGTTACACAGGTTGCACATGAACCTTCTCTGCTTAAATACTACTGTTGCTATAATCTACAGTCAAGCAGACACAGGTACTTTGACAACTGCAAATCTAGTTGTGCTGTAACCTTGTAAGTGCCTGGGGTATGTGGTCATTATTTAATGCAAGTTAAGAGCTACAAATGATATGCTCGAGTTAAGAAACTGGGGTCTCTTTAACCACTTGCCTACCGGGCACTTATACCCCCTTCCTGTCCAGGCCAATTTCCAGCTTTCAGCGCTGTCGCACTTTGAATGACAATTGCACGGTCATACAACATTGTACCCATATGAAATTTTTATAATTTTTTTCTTTTTATCATTTTTTCAAGTTTTTTCTTAGTTTTTGTTATAAAATTTTGTGAATAAGTGTTTTTTCTTCTTCACTGATATGCGCTAATGAGGCTGCAGTGGTGGGCACTGATAGGCTGCACTAATGGACACTAATAGGTGGCACTGATAAGGAGGCACTGGTAGGTGGCACTGATGGGCATTGACAGGCATCACTGATGGGCACTGAAAGGCAGCACTGATACATGGCACTGATATATGGCACTGATAGGCGGCACTGACTGGCACTGATAGGCAGCCTTGACAGGCACTGATAGGCGGCACTGATGCGCACTGATAGGTGGCACTGATTGGCGGCACTGATTGGTATTGATAGGTGGCACTGACTGGCACTGATGGGTGACACTGAAAGGCAGCTCAGATAGGCACTGATATGTGGCATTGATGTGCACTGGTAGGCACTGATATGTGGCATTGATGTGGCACTGATGGACACTGACAGGTGGCGCTGCTGGCGCTACACTGATCATCAGGGCACACTGATCATCAGTGCCCTGATGATCAGTGTACATGTCCCCTCCGCAGAAAGCCGATTACTGGCTCTCCTCTCGAGCTGTCAGAGTGACAGCTCGAGAGGAGAGAAATGCCGATAACCGGCATTTCCCTGTTTACATGTGATCAGCTGTGATTGAACACAGCTGATCACATGACTGAGCCGACATCTTCGGCTCTTTCCATGATCGGTGATCCGCTGTGACCGAGGGATACAGCGCACCACCGATCACCGCGCTGCGCGCTCCCTGAGCCGCACATGCGCGGTGAGAATGGGAGGACGTTATATGAAGTCCTCCCAGAACGAGAGAACCACCTTGCGTCCGTCATATTACTATATGGCGGACGGGAGGTGATTAAAGTGACTGGCACCTAGATTTTTAGACCCACAGTATGACAAGGACCTAACATAGGGGGAATGCAACTGCATACCTCCTTCAAAGTGACCCTTTACTTTTCATATGTAGGCACAAGTAACTCAGTTAACCACTTGAGCTCCTGAGGATTTACCCCCCTTAATGACCAGGCCTTTTTTGCTGTTTGGCTCTGCACTAATTCAAATGATAATTGCGCGGTCATGCAATGCTGCACCCAAACAAAATTTACGTCCTTTTTTTCACACAAATAGAGCTTTCTTTTGATGGTATTTTATCATCTGTGCGCTTTTTATTTTTTGCGCTATAAACAAAAAAAACAAACATTTTGAAAAACAACTATATTTTCTACTTTCAGCTATAAAAAATATATCGTAAACTCAAAGTTAGTCATAAATTTAAGCCAAAATGTATTCTGCTACATGTTTTTGGTAAAAAAAATCCCAATAAGTGTATATTGATTGCTTTGTGTGAAAGTTATAGTGTCTACAAACTATGGTATAGATACTGTCATTTATGCCTTTTTTGCTACATGTTTTTGGTAAAAAAAATCCCGTGCATTAGCGGGCAAACTGGCGCTATATGGGAGGGGCGCTAACACTATCGGAAATCACCAGTGACACTAATACAGTGATCAGTAAAAATCTGTTCACTGTAATCAATGACACTGGTGACAGGGCAGTGAAGGGGTTAACTGGGGGGGCGATAAAGGGGTTAAATGGGATTACTGGTGTACTGGCGGGCAAACTGGCGCTATCTGGGAGGGGCGCTAACACTATCGGAAGTCGCCAGCGACACTGATACAGTGATCAGTAAAAATCGATTCACTGATCAGTGACACTGGTGACAGGGCAGTGAAGGGGTTAACGGGGGGGGGGGGGGGGGGCGATCAAGGGGTTAAATGTGTCCTAGGTGTGTTCTAACTGTGGGTATGTGCTGTTTTACTCACTGTTTGGATGTCTTCTTCTCTGTCTGGAACGGAATGTGTCCAGGCAGAGAAGAATGACATCATATCCTGTCCTGTGTAAATGTCAACACAGGACAGGATAGGACAGGGACCGATCATCTGATTTCAGCCAGACATTAGTGGCTGAAATCGAATGATTGATCCCTCCGGGATCAAATGGTGTCACCCGTGGGTCGGCGGGCGCGCGCGCCCCCTGCCGGCGAAAACGTCGGGAGGGCAGAACCCGTTTCAAAAAGCCCCAGTGCCGCCCTGCACACGTATATATACAGTGGCAGGGCGGCAAGCGGTTAAAGTGTTACTAAACCCACAACAGTAAAATCAGTCTGTATATGCAGTAAATCATGCTTGTTATACTCACTGTGGAACCTAAGGGGTTAATCCTCTGCATTGTGTAAAAAGGTTGTTTGATCCTGACTTTTCTGCCCCTCCTCTTGTTGAAATGACCACCTGATACAGACTCTAGTAAAGAAAAATAGCAAGGAAGGCTCCTCTAAGTGCAGTATGCAGCAGTTTTTTGAGTAGTAATAGTTAAAAGCACTTACAAGATAGCAGTCAGATAAAAGCTCATCAGGTATAATTCCAGGGAGACACACTGAGCTGACCAGTGAGTGAGTGTGGTGGAACACACAGGCAAGATGGCCACCGTACTTCTAGGAGAGGCGTGGAATTATTCCAGTTCCCGCCCCTACATACTATAATTAATGGATCCTATCACAGGGGTTTATGGTCTGAGGATGGAATGTCTGCACATGCTCCAAAACGTGTTGCAACCCCCTTGATGTCACTTCCGGCTTGTGTGATCCACGCCTCTTCAGGAAGTACAGAGGCCATCTTGTTCCACCACACTCATACCGCTGGTCAGCTCAGTGCGTCTCCCTGGAATTATACCCGATGAGCTTTTATCTTACTGCTATCTTGTAATTTGCTTTTAACCTTTACTACTCAATAAACTGTTGCATACTGCACTTAGAGGCACCTTCCTTGCTATTTACTTTACTAGAGTCTGATTCCACACATGAAGAGCTGCTCCAGTGCACAGCGTGCTCCTATGTCATCTGGCCTCCCTTCCCTCCACTGGATGCCCAAGATTCTTTTCTCCTGGAGGTCATACCATTGCAGAGCGCCCTATGAACACCGTTACCTGATACAAACTGAATCTGTAGTCACATGCACATGCTCAGTTTGGTGTGTATTGCTAGAGAGGTTTTTTTTTTTTTCTTGGGATAATGCATGTGATCAGCACAGGGCCAATCAGCACTGTCCAGACAGAGGGTCAGGACTTTCACATCCTCCAGGACTTTCACATCCTCCTAGAGCAGAAAGAAAACTCCTCCTACAAGCTTTAACCAGTGCTCTGCTGAAGTCACAAGACTTCTCTAACTGCTGATGAGAAAAAGGTATTTAGCAGTTTATATTTACTAAAATAATTGCATTTCCATATTCTGTGTACTGTGGAAGACCAGATAAAGTGAATGCAGAGTCCTGGGTTTAGTAACACTTTAAAGAGAAGTTCTATTCACCCTGTCAAAAAACAAAAGCCAGCAGCTACAAAAACTGTAGCTGATGACTTTTAAAAAACAGCCACTTACCTGTCCCTCGGTGTGTCCCCCGCAGCCCGTTTCACTGGCCGTCCTGTATTCCAGGAAACTGGCATCTTCAGTGTGGCACCCGGCTGTGATAGCTTGTGGCTTCACAGCTGGGTACCCACTGTGCATGCACGAGTAGCACTGCTCTTCATGAATGGTCCTGTAGTCTTCTAGGACTTGTCACGTGTCCCAAAAGACTACAGGGAGGGAGGACTACAGGCAATCGGACCGGAATTGGGAGCGGGTACCTGTCAAATTCGGGTACCCGCTCCCCCCTGCCAACCAAAGGTGTCAATCCTTAATGGGGAGCGGGGGAGCAGTCCTTAAAGCGGAACTTCCCCTTTTGGGTGAAGCTCCACTATAACTATCTCCCAATCAAGCAACATATTTGTCTCTATTTTGCTCCCCCCACAGCTCCATTCATGCTGCACTTCTGGGTATGGAGAAGCATGTGACACTCCTATTCACCCATGTGATGATGCTAATGACTGATCCAGAACTGTCACATGGCAGCAGGCGGAAAGTCTTCAATCCTAGGTTAGACCAATAAAAGTATGTGCAGACACTTCTAAATGCCTGCTTTTAGTTTTTTTTTTTTTGGTGTATGTCAGTTTTATTTCTTTATTAACCTCCCTGGCGGTATTCCTGAGTGTAGCTCGGGGTAAAGTTTCAGTACCACATGCGGTAACCCCGAGCTACACTCGGGCTTACCATGTGGCGCTGCTCCAGGATCCTTCGGTCACTTATCTTGTCCTGCGCTCCCACGATGTCCCTCCTGCAGTGTCCCCTGCAATGTCCTCCGGCGGATGCCGGCATCTGTCTTCTGGGTTCCGTCCCCTGCGAGCGTTGGGACGTACGGGGACGGAACGGTGGGAAATTTGAAAATGACAAAAAGTGACATTCACTAAATACACTAAAATCACATAGTAAAACATTACTGTATCAAACCATTTCACATACATTTTGTCCCTAGTGCATTGTCCTGTGCCCTGCCTGCATTTTTACTGTTCTTTCTGCCTGGAAACTGAGAAATGTCCATGGCGTCCAAAAAGCGTCCCTTTAGGTCAAAAGCCGTTTTAGACCAGCTCGAGAACCACTTGCAGAATTGAGTGATAATGATTTGTGGGGAAATTCATCATCAGACACTGAAAACGATTTTGCGACTTTACTCAGTGATGTGCGAACTTGGCGCTCTATTTCAAATTTCAGTGTTTTTGGTTTGATTATATTATTAAATTAAATGTATTATTATTATATTATTATTTTTTATTATTATATATTAAAATTATAATTTATGATTTCACGTTTCAAATTTTATCATACCCGGGATGTTTACTAGACTCTTGTTCGGACAGATTCAGTGAGTTATTCCTAAGAATTACAGGCCTACAATAAAAAAAATACATATTTCCCTGCAAAAAATGTACCGCTTTGAGCACAGAAATACTGACATAATCAGACTGCTAGGGAGGTTAAACTGAATGGTTTGCATTTTAAAGCAAATCTATGTTTAGCAAATTTCATCAAAAAATTTCCAGCATGACTTTATAGTATATGCATGTAATCTCACAAAAAACAAAAAAGAAGCGGTTATAGGCGCTACCATATTGTTGCCAGAGGGATGATCAACACTTCTTTTCAATCAAACCTAAATCCTAACTCTCACATATGCATAATTTGCTTATTTAAGAAGTCACTGGTCACTTGAGCTCTAATACCAATGTGACAAAGGGACAGACAGCTTTGGAAAACCAGACTTGCTGGTAAGGAGACTTTACAAGGGATTTATGTCATAGCCTTCTGGCTGCTAGACAACTTCGCATTCTGTATTTAGATCTATGTTGACATTTTGTCATTTTTATTGTATTACTACTGTCATATGTTACACTTGATATTTTTGTCTGTTTATGCATACCCCAGCCCGCACACCACCCCCCACTGACTTCTCCATCATGTCCAACAATGCCACCATCAAACCCGCCCCGCAGGCCAGAGTACTTGGTGTCATTCTGGACTCCAACCTATCCTTCCAGCCCCAAGTCCAATCTTTAACAAACTCATGCAGACTCCACCTCCGCAACATCGCCAAAATACGCACGTTCCTAACCCCAGAAACCACTAAACAGCTCATCCACTCCCTCATCATATCACGACTCGATTACTGCAACTCCCTCCTTACTGGCCTGCCTCTCCGCTGGCTATCCCCGCTTCAGTCGATCCTGAATACGGCTGCCAGACTCATTCACCTTTCCAACCGCTCCGTTTACGCCACCCCCCTCTGCCAATCCCTCCACTG